TCTTAAAATTTAGATGGATTATAAGGAGACACGAGAGAGAAAGAGAGAGGGGCCAGCCAGCGAAAAGACAGGGAGACAGAACGAGAAGACGAGGCGGTAGACTTCGTACTTATTATACTTAACGGGGGACGGCGTCTTTTTAAAGGGGCTAACAATGAGGGATGGTACCCGCAACCCCATCCCTCTTACCTCTTCAACACCCCCGTGCGACGCGAACACCCACCCGTCCACCCGTCTTCAAGAAAATGTTTAATGCCGTGGAAAGTAAGACGCGGTAATTAATATCCATTATCTTCTGTGCTGGCGACCTCCATCCAATTAGCATCGCGGATCCTGCGACGCGGAAAACGGAGACGCATTAGCGAACACCCTGCGGAATCGATGGAATTTTTCGACCTCATCGCGTGGATATTTCGACAACCCCTTCTGACCCCTTGGATCCTGTTTCATGGTTACCGAATAAAATTTCGAGATTAGCAAATATTTTACATAAGCGATATTAACGCTATTACGAGGAGAACCCCTTCCGTTCCAAGCACAGGAGTCGAGTTTTGCGAGGATGTTGTACGTCGAGAATTAATTCAGACGAGGTAGATGCGTTCACGACAAAATCCCGCAACAATACGACAGATCCGACGATCTGCAAGACTGCAGTTTCCTCAGGCGGTATTAGCAGGTGGCGTGTATTCGCGGTTAAACGCGGTTGTAATCTTAGAAATTGCTGTGACGTGGATCCATCGTTGCGTTTTGTACTACACGCTTCTGTATCCGTTTAAACTGTTCGCGTTAAGTAGAAACTTGATAAACAATTCCTGCTTCCAACAAATTTAGCCGCTCTTATTTCCGCGTAAATAAAAAGACCCTTAAGAAAATTGATATCAAAATTCCACTATAATTTGTTTATCGTCAGCGTTTGACACGGTAGTGAACGTGTTAAAGTCAGAGCCAAGTTGGCACACGGTTACTGCGATATATTAATAATTTTCATGTTCCTTTTCCACCGTGTCATTTTTACACGAGGTACCACTGTCCTGTCTTTAACGATCGTCATACATTAAAATAGCAAAATGGTTCCAATGAAAATCGTTCTCCGTCATAACAGGAATGTAACGCTCGATAACTTTGACATATTCCCCTATTAGAGACGACGCTGAATAATTCGAAGCTCCTTCGCTCGACGAACCTAACAGGCTATTTTTCTCTCGAATTACCAGCATATGCCCGTCTCTTTAGAACTCTAAGATACTTTCAGATGTTGCAAAATAGTTTATGATTCAGAGGGAACTGACAATTTACGCCTTTACGTGCTATTCGTCACACAAGCCTATTGTTATATTATCATATTCACGGAGACGTTTACGCTGATTGCAGTTGCAACGCAGAGAGATATGATACGATTCAGATATTTGAAGGACATGGAGAGTATAAAAATCGTGGCTATTAGTGATCCATCGTTCAAGAGTTAAAGAGCAATTACGCTTTGGAATTTCGTAGTCGATTTCCGACGCAGGCGATGATAGTTGGCGCGTAAACGGTCGGAGATAATTTACAGCGCGACAACCAAGCCCCGTACACACGCTATAATTAAGAGTGGGGACAATTAAACCGTAACACGATCTCGTCCAATTAACGTAGGAAGGTAGCGTGGCCCCCCGATATAGCAATAACGCGAACGACACGAGGAAAGCAACGATAAAGGGCGTGGGGGAAGGTTAGTCGTTGGAGGGGGTGAAGGTAGCAGCTAGCTATGATAATAACAGCGATTATCGCCGGTATTCGGGAAATTACTGGTAAGCGGCGGGCCTGGTACATAATTGAACACTGGCCAGATACTATTCCGTGGGCGAACGGCGTGTGCTCGCATAACGAGAGACAGCAACACCGTTTTGGCGTTCGTAGCCACACGTAGGTAGGTACGCGCGTCCACCGGGCGTGCAAACACAACACAACACACCACACGCGCGAGCACGCGCGCGAGTTTCAACACTCGGCCTGGCGAGGTTCACTTACACCGGTACGGAAACACGGCTATCTATCCGGCGGAGGTTTATACGCGTGTTGCCGCTGTAAACTCGCGCCCGGGTACCGGCTACGTAATCGTACGAGATCCCATTGCATGAATATAATTTGCATACAAGTTGGTTATATGGCAGGGGCCGGCATCAGCTGGCTCGCCCGTATAAACGATTATATGGAGCCAACAGATGTAGGCGGACCCGCGACCCCGCGTACCTACGCAATTGGCGTTGTACCTTTTACGCCCTCCTACCCTTCACGCTCGCGTTATCGCTAAATACCCTGCTAATGGCAACGGCCTACAATTTATGACAACCCCTTACCAACGAGCTAGACAGTTTCTGTCATTTCTCTTCGTTTATAGTCGTCACTTGTTCGACGTTTGTTTTCGAATCGGTTTCCTGCGGAGTAAGGTTCGTGCAAAGTTCGTTAGCGTTACGATACCGCGAGATCAATTTATTCGAAACGATACGATCATTAACATCGTTCTAAGGATACAAAATGTACAAAGTCTTAACGATGCGGTAGCTGTTCATCTAGCGTTCTAATGGTAAAGAACAGTCCCCTCCGGTTTTTCTCACAGAATTTTCAATTCAAAAGTAGCCAAGTCGACCGTTGTTTGCCGCGCAAAGAAGTAGCGAAGCGACATGGTCGGACCTAGAAGAGCGGCACGTCATTAAGCGAGAGTAGCGTTGTCGCGGGCTTCGTGTCGTTCCTTTTTCTCCCTGTTTCTCTTCGTTCGTTCGTTTCGCGTTCGTGTCGAGGTTAGACGGCGATCCTCTTTTTCGTGCGCCGCGGCATCCCGCAGTGAACATCTAATCTAATGGGAGAGACTCTCAGCGGACAGAAAGAGAGAGAGAGGTGTGGGCATTTTAGGAGAAAATACCGCGGCGACCCGATTGTCGTTCGACCATGAGAGAAGAAACGGGACAGAAATAGCGGAGGGAGACGAGTAACAGAAGGCCAGAAGCGAAAGAGCAAGGTGGAAAGATCCTTTGAAGGAGCCGCCACCACTTGTTGGTC